TTTTATGATTGAATGTATAATCCCTTCTCATATCGAGCAATTCAACACCCTCTCAAAATCTTCCTTATGGATCCAATACGTCGATGAAGCCCCTAAGAGTTCCAGAGCTAGAGCTCGATTCCTCCTTATTTATCCTAAGCATGATATTTTGAAATATGGGATTCGCCCGCAATTCCAATAACAAATAAATTTCATTGAGTATTAAGATCTCAATGTTGGGTTAAGGTTTGCCATCAATTGTGAAGTCCATGATATAAATATTTATATTGATTTCTAGCTTTTATCTTCTCAGGTGGAAGGAGACTTAAATATTTATAATTTATAGCTAAAACATTATCTTAGCTTGATTAAATCACCCATCACTTGTATCCAAACATATCAAATAATTCATATACTTTGGGAACACAATCTTACCTTCTTGAAGGCTTCTAAGCTTAACACTCACAGCAATAGAGTCACTCAGTCTAACGCACCATTAGGTTATGATTTTGAAGCCAAAATGTAACACCTCTATTTCTATTTTATTGGATGGATACTACTCTATTGGTGAACCAACCCCTTCTTTACCTATGAAGGACCACTCATAATGAATGAATCTCAAAATGACATGTGAGGCTTGACAATCACATGAGTGTTAAATGGTATAACTTACTTTCCGTAAGATCAACCACAAACTAGAGATGACCAACTAGAAAAAGCACTTTTATTGCCCTCACCTCATAGTAGAGCTCCTCCTTAACCTGACCAAGAAGTTGACATCCTCAATACTGCAAATTCCACACATATATCTCTCTCACTGACTTTCAAATTTGCTTGCACTATCACTTTTATTAAAATCATGATCATGCCATCAAAGCACATTATCAACTTAGAGGAAAAGTTAAAAGGCTACTTTGACAAGGATATAGGGTAACAATATAATCAAGTTCGTGTAGATAAACCCTCAATGGGTGCAATAAATCCAAATATAACAATAAATAAATTGCCAAATACCTTTCTTGAATATGACGGTAACCATATTTCTAAGAAAAAGTATGGTCTATCTAAATCTACACTCCAAACTTTAGAAACACAAAATATTTTCGGGACCTCATTCTAAGCTTAATCAATCCTATTGGGACTCGATTCAACTTTTTCGACATAATTTAAAGTCATCGAACAAATAATTTGACTAACAACTTAGGATAGGCAAGAAATTCTTGATGGATTTCATTCGAGTTCGACTGCATAGGTTAACATCATCAAACATATCCAACAAAATAACTAAAGATGGGTTTAACAATCTTAATGAATTTCACTCGACTTTGTTCGCACAGGTTAACAACGTCAAACATTTTTCAACAAAACAACTTAGGATAGGTTTAACATCTTTGATGAATTTCATTCAACTTTTTTCCGAGCAAATTAAGTCCATTGAGCATCATTAACGGGCAACATTGGATATGTCTAACATTCTTGGTGGATTTCATTTGACTTTATCTGAATATGTTAATGTCATCGAACATCTCTACCAAACAACTTAGGATGGTTCTTACACCTTTTATGGATTTTATTTTATTTTATTTGTATAGGTTAACTATGTCGAACATATCTGACAAAAAGAACTAGGACGTATCTAACTTCTTTGGTGGATTACTTATGACTTCTTTTATATAAATGGCCTCAACTCAGAAAAACATCTTTGGTGGATTACTCATAACTTCTTATATACAAGTAACCTCAAATCATTCAAACATATTTGGTGAATTATGCATAACTTCATATATACAAATGACTTCAAATTGGTCAAATATCCTTGGTGGATTACTCATTACCTTTTATATATAAAAGATCTTAAATCGATCAAACATCCTTTGTGGATTTCCCGTATTGTCTTATATATATTACACATATAAGTCAAATATCATTGGCAAATTTTTGATAACCTCTTTCATATGTGTTACTGTTGTCAAGTAATACTCTAACAAATAACTTAAGATATGTCTAACATTCTTAGTGGCAGACTTAGTTTCCATTCATACTCTACAAGACACACCCATGATTTAGTCTCTATGGGAAGCTATTAGTGGACACAATCATCACTAGAAAAATCACTTAAGAGCAAGTTGCACATAAATCCTTTTACTATATCCCTGGAAAGCACGACCTTGAGGTAGCATCAATGGAAATCTAGTATTGGACATGGTCATGATCAATAGAAAAACTCTATAATAGCAAGTGGCTAACAAAACCCTTCAAAAAATATCAAAAAGTTATACACCTCAGAAGATGTAAGTACACTCAATAAATCTCAGAAGATGTATGTCTCATATAAGATCAATGTCATTACACTTCCACTGGGGCACAATGTCTCAATTGAAATATATTGGATTTCTAAAAAGATTCATAAATACTTCGTTTTTTTTAGACAAGTTATAAGGAATAGACATTCTTACAACAACCCAAACAAGCATCAAGCCAAAATATCCAATAAAAAATCAAACAAAAACTGCCTTAATTTGAGTAGATAACAACAACCGAAAGACAACAACATCATCAATATGGCTAGAAAACAACAACCTAAATATGGATAAGCAATAATAGCCTAGACATGGAAGGAAAAAAACAACCTTAGCATGGGTAGATAACAACAGTCTGAAGGCAACAACCACAATGTGAGTATGCAATAGCAACCTAAAAGGATAAGCAACAACAACTTGAATGGAGAAGACAACAACACCTTAAGTGAGGGAAAGTAACAACATTTTGAAAGAAACTTCATTTCGTGAAAAAGTGTTGTGCTTCTCTCCCCCTCATGTTCATCCTTGCATGTAGGCCCCACTATTTTCTCATGTATACTATTGCGCTCATTTTCTTACATGCATGTACGTGCGAACCCAAACATACAGGCATGCCCAAGCACGTTAACTATCATTGCCATTGAACCACCGCTGCTCGTCCACCATTAATGTCTTCAAACCATGGCTACCCGACCTCCACCAGACAACTACTGCCCGATCGCCATTACCACCAACATTGATAAAGACAAGATAATCAAAACTCCACGGAGTATTCAAGATAACTCAAATCTCCTCAAATTATGAATTTTTGAAGAGTTAAAAATTATGTTCAATACAAGTTGTATATTTTTGGACGACGCATAGTATATCACCTGAGAATGGGGACAACTGATGTGACATCAAGAAATTTATATCAAACACAAATCTCGATGCATTTTTATAGGGATCTTCCAAATTCAAATTGACGATCATATGGGCTCCGATCTCTGCAAATTTATAGTGGAACTGACCATCTCAACAAGACGAAAAAAATAATGTAAAAATTGATTCAATTCAGGTCCAATCAAGCCCAGATTAAGCTATTGAAGTATAATCACAAGCTTTGGATTGTCAATTGAATGATCAAATAAAATCTAAATTTAACATTTCTTATAATTAAATCAAGCGTTTCGATGAGAAGAATTCAGCGATCATAAGATTACTCCATTCTGAGATTATTAAGACACCCAAATTCTTAAAAACCACTTATGATACAAATATCAACATGGACCGTTTAATCTGATGATTAGAGAAGTTATGCTCCAAAAGACCAAAATGTCCCTCCTCAAAAGGCTATAAATAAGGGAGAATGAGAGGAAGAGAAGAAGTGAAATTTTAGAGCTTGTTCTGGAGAGAAAACCCTATGAGTAATTGTCAACCTCTGTAGCCACCAACCACCATCGATCGCTAGCCTCTATACCCACTGGCAACGATCAACAACAACCACTTGTCACCTTCTACTATAGTTGATCACCGGTCGTCGATGACCACTGCTTGCAACAGTTGTAGTCATACTATCATTTTTGTTGAATTTTCTAACACTTTTCTTTTTTAGCTATATAAAGACAATTGAAGTTTTTAGTATCAAATTGTAACATCATTCTTCCTGTCCTGAGAAAAGGTCATACCCTTGAACTTATAAACATATAGTAAATTATTTTGACTGTGTCAGACTTTGTGGTTTTTTTCTCTTTCAGAGTTTTTTCCATGTAAAAATTATGGTCTCTCATCGTATCACTTTTCTTTTATCTGTGTAAACATGATCTAAGACGTTAAATTATCACTCTACTGCCGCGAATTTTCCAACACGTAACAACTATTTTTACATGCTTTAACACTTACCTTTCATGCATTGATTTAAGACATCGAAGTGTACTAAATATAAATACCAATTTTTAAGTATTAGATAAATAAATACATATGAATTGTGATGTATGAATGTAAATTTAGCCCATTTAAAAAAAAAAAAAAACTTTGTATGAGTTTATAATGCTGACAATCCATAATATATAAACTAGGTTTAATTAAATAGCAAAATCATGAAAATTAATTATTATTCAAAACATATTTTTCAACTCCAAACAACCAAAAAATCACCTTTTTAAAAAAAAAAAAAGAAAAACATTTTTGGATCTTAATTTTGTAAACCAGCATTTTTTTTTTTTTATTTCCAAAACAATTCCCATTTTTCATTATATCTAAAACTAAATAAATAAACATTTGAACACATTTAAAAAAAAAAAAAAAGTCCTCTGCCTTTCAATTATATTACACTGCATATGATATTGACTGCATAAATAACTATTTATTCTTCTGAGAGTATTGACAATATATTCTAATAAATTTCTGTTTCATAAGAACCCATCTCAAATTATTTTTTTAATTTGTGTCAAATTTAAAAAATATATATATGAACTAATTTTTTACACGTCTCTTCTGTTCCACAAAATAAAGAAGCAGACAATCATATGCTCTTCAACACCCACATAGCATCAACATCTTCATTTCTATAAAATTGAAGTTTGAGGCATTCAAATTGAATAGATATTTACTAAACTTTATTTATTTTGGTTGTATTAATAACAATATTTGTCCCTTTTGTTTTGGCTCTGCAGCATCCATTTAGCTATATATTATTCTGTCTCAGTTTCTTCTAACATTCAGACATAAGAAATTTGCAAAATGTCAGATGTTATTGAGGAAGAAAAACACAACAGAGCAGCTCTAATGGCTGCCATGAGAAAGACAGAGACAGGAATCCCTACAGAAATAAAGAAGAGAAGGAACCCCCCAGGCAATCCAGGTTTCATAAATTCATACTCCTTTTATCATTACTTTTTAATTCTGTATTGGTGCCATAAATCTGTGCATGCAAAGTACATTTTTCGTGTGATGTTAAAGATTTGAGTATAAATGTAAACGTTTGCAGGTTAAATGTGCAAATACAATAGAATTGTGTGGTGTGCATGTAAATGCCCCTTTAAATAGAAGATTTTTGATAATTCTGAGACAGCTTGGTTCATGTGTTTTATTTGAAGGTTTGAGATGGTTTACAATTTGAATTATGTATTTATGATTTTATTTTTCTTTAGGGAAAAAAAAAAGAAGAAGAATCACTTTTTTGCTAATTTAAATAAATCATAATTTTTTTATATATAATTAAAATTAACCCATAAAATATTAATATTATCATTTAATGGATTGGTGTGATGATCTTTGTTTCAGATCCAGATGCTCAAGTTGTAGCTCTATCACCAAGAACTCTTCTAGCAACAAACCGCTACATATGTGAAGTTTGCCATAGAGGCTTTCAGAGAGATCAGAACCTCCAGCTCCATAGAAGAGGCCACAATCTGCCATGGAAACTGAAGCTAAAGAGCAGCACTGAGCCTAAGAAGAGGGTCTATGTCTGCCCTGAGCTCACCTGTGTTCACCACGACCCGAACCGGGCCCTCGGCGACATAACAGGAATAAAAAAACACTACTCAAGGAAGCATGGCGAGAAAAAATGGAAATGCGATAAATGCTCGAAGAAATACGCAGTCCAGTCAGACTGGAAAGCTCATTCGAAGAACTGCGGCACGAAGGAATATCGATGTGATTGTGGAACCATCTTCACAAGGTAGAATATGGCAACAATAAGGGTTATATCAGGTTTGCTGGTGTCGGATTTTGGTCTAACTCAAAATTGACTTGATTTGAAACCGTTTAACTTGAACCAGACCCAAATATTAAACGGTTTAGAAAAACTGATCTGCCCTCAGCCCATTGACCCAAACAGGCCCGTATAACACATTTAACGTAGTTATATAATAACTATTTGCGTCTAATTCCGATTGATTTAAAGTCAATCTCGGGTTGGCAGTTCAATTTTGAGTTGAGCTTGAATTAATGAGCTAGTTTTGTTTTGATGGATCAATTTGAACCAAGTCCAAAAAACTAAACAGGTTAGGATTCCTACTGAACCCGACCTGAAATTATTTTGGTCAATCCGAAATAAAATTTTTCGATTCGAGTTCGGGTCGAGTTGGAGTGTCTGGTTAATTTTTGACACCAACCAAAATGGTGGGAATACTAACGCGGTTCAGTGTACCTTTGTTTCAGGAAGGATAGCTTTGTTACTTGCCGAGCCTTCTGCGGTGCTCCTGCCGAAAAGAATTACAGGACAGATCATGGGCTGGCTGCCATGGCTGGGAATCTCCCCGGCCAACATCAGAGACTACTTTCCCCCTCCATGCAATGCCTTGGCTCCTCAATCACAGACAATAAAATAAACATATTAGGTTCTGAAACAAATACAAGCAATTCATTGAAGTTTGTGTCTCTTAATTCTTTAATGCAGACCAGTTCTAACACACTATACAATACTGGAAGCATGTCCATGGGTTCTTCGATTATGTCAGCTACAGCTCTGTTGCAGAAGGCATCAGAGATGGGAGTCAAAATCAGTGATGAGTCCACATCTCCAGTACTTTTTGGAGGCTTTACAGCCTTCTCAAACACAAACACGGAAACCGGGATGATGCGAGATTTCGTAAACAGCTATAATAATAACGACGCTCAATGCCTCAACGTTGCAGAGGCAAGCTCTGAAGCGATGAATGCAAGGTTCGTTCCTTCGTCAGCAGGCTGCCCATTTGTTGGTGTTCAGAATATGTTTCAGACGAGTTCGAAGGGGAATGCTGATGGCTCGGGTTTTAGAACAACTACAGTTCGATTTCCATTTGGTAGAGAGACAAAGATTGATATGAACAATGGAGGAAATTTGGGCGAAGATAATGTGGGAAAGAGGGACGGTAGAATGACTCAAGATTTCTTGGGTTTGGCTGCTTCTGGGAGTATGGGTGTTGGAAGCTCTGGAAATTCAAATTATAATGAAGATGAAATGTACTCATTTCACCAAATGTCCGATGGGCAAACCATATTGGGAAAGCATATGTGGGATTACTAGTCAGCTACTTTGACGTGTTTCATTTAAAGTAGCATAAAGTTTAGATTTTTTTTTTTTTTGTTTGTTTGTTTGTTTTCTGAACATAGAGAGTGTTTGTTTGTTTGTTTTCTGAACTGAACATAGAGAGAGCTCTTTTGTATGCTTGAGTATTACATTTATGATGCAATCAACAGTCACAGATGTTTCTGATACAGAAGAATTCATCTAACTAGCATTTCCAACAAGTATGTTAACTTCAATCTAGTTTTACTGATTATTCTAAAGATGAACTTATCATTTGATATTGGGCTCAATTAAGTCCGGACCCTTCACCAATTGACACTTATTGGACCTAGCCTAGCCTATGATGGACCAAGCCTAGACTAGGCTTAGCCAAGTTTCACTTATTGAGTCAACTTAGATACTTGACATTATACATACCTTCTGTAGCTCATCACTACGTTTATCTGTATGCCATCATCACCAACCTCTTCAACATCTTTGCTCACTTTTGCTCTATCTCCACCTTTCACAACGTAGCCTATTCTTCAAGTGACATGGAAGACCATTCTTTGCTTCCACTAAACCTCAATGAGTTGTTTGTGACGAGTGCAAATACATTGAATTGCAAGTTTTTTTTAGATGTTAGTTATATAAATAAAAATATTTGAATGGTACGGACACGTTATCAAAAGCTAGCATCCCAAATAGAATTTTTTGCACATTAACTGTTTGGTGAAAGATTTGCTGCTAAGGAGTCTTACTTACAACTAACCCAACATAAAAGTACATTTTGTATCTTCATAAATAAGACGGTTAGAAGTTTTGAGGATTGAATTTATTTCTTTTCCTGTTTTATATTATTTTCTTTATCTCCAAGTAATTATTAGGAATTGATTAAGTCAAGATATAGATGTTATATTTTATTTCCTGTTATTTCATTTTTCTTGTCTTTACTATTCTAGGATTCATGTAAGGTATATTTATACTCTCTTTTCATAGCAATAAAATAATTCCGTTGAATTTTGAAAATCAACATGGTATCAAAAGCCTTGAAACAAACCCTAGAGTCTTCGGCGGAGGAGAAGATCCCCTACAGCCGCAAACTCACTTTCCCTGCAGGACCTAGCCTCCTAAATTCCTTCTTGTAGGAACTAGCCGCCAGAACACTCTCCCTACAGGCCATAGTCATCGGAAACTTCCCTCCCTACGGGACCTGGCAGCCGAAACTCTTTCCTGCACGAACTAGCCGCCGGAATTCCCTCTCCGCAGGCCCTAGACGTCGGAAACTTACTCTCCCTGCAGGCCCTAGTCGCTGAAACTCCTTCCTGCAGGAACTGGCTGCCGAAACTCTCTCCCTACAGGTTGCTAACAGCCGGAAATCCTCTCTACCAGCTGGAAAACTTCCTACAGGCCGCCAATTCCCGCAGGCTTCCTTAGTGAGGACACATCTTCCTGCAGTCTTTCCGCTGCATCTAGTTTATCCTTCCTATTGGCGCTTAAGTTCGTGTAAGAAGCTGAAACTTCTAACAAGAACTCCAACCACAAGAAAATCGCAAGAAAAAAAAAACAAGAGTTCAGACCTCCTTGGTTCATATGTTGAGTGTTCCCGTGCTACACTTATTATTGCTTCTATTTCTTCCTTCGGAACTAATCACGATTTAACTGGGATGTTCTACCCTCTACTGATTAGTTCCATGGGCATTATCATGTGTTTGATCACAATTCATTTTGCAACTGACTCTTTTGAGGTTAGAGTAGTTTAAAAAATTGAGCCTGCGCTTAAGATGCAGCGAATAATTTCCACTGCTCAGATGACTGTTGGGATTGCAATTGTTAGTTGGCTGACACTTCCATCTTCGTTTACTACCTTTAAATTTGGTGTCCAGAAGTCAAGAACTGGGAGTTGTTCTTTTGTGTTGCAATTGTACTATGGGCTAGTATTGTGATGGGATTTGTTACCGAATACTACACTAGTAATGCATAAAGTCTTCTGAAAGGTGTTGCAGATTCACACAGAACTAGGGCTGCCACAAATGTTATTTTTGGACTTTCTTTGGGATACAAATCTGTCCAGATTCCAATCCACGATGTGCAGGATCACTGGTGGTAGAGAAACTTCTGATGTGGAAGACGTTGGAAGATCTTATGGGCTTGTTAAAGCTCGTGGTGCTGTAAGACCAGATGGTTGGGCTTACCGCTTTCCTAGAACAAACACAACGACTCTCTACTACCGGACAGCAAGCATGTGTGAGTCGGAGCCTCTAAACCGATCAGATCCAGAAAGCCATTATGTCATGCAACCTTCCCTGCAAGTATTCTTTCTTTTGTTTTTCGTAGGTCATACCCTGCAACTTTTCTTGTAGGTGCTCTTTTTTTTTTCCTGCAAGCCATATATTGCAACTTTCCCTATAGGTATTCTTCATTTTTACAAGAAGGTCATACCCTGCAGCTTTCACTACAATTGCTCTACCTTTTTACCAGCAGGTCATACCCTACAGCTTTCCCTGCAAATGTTCTTTCTTTTGACCTACAGACCATACTCTGCAGCTTTCCCTGCAAGTGTTGTTCTTTTTTTTTTTCCACGGGTCATACCCTGCAGCATTTCTTGCATGTCTTCTTCCTTTTACCTGCAGGACCATACCCTGCAGACGTTCTTTCTTTTTTTCCTGCAAGTCATACCCTGCAGCTTTCTCTGCAAGTGTTCTTCCTTTTTACCTTCAGGCTATACACTGTAGCTTTCTCTGTAAGTGTTCTTTTTTTTTCCTGCACGCCATACCCTGCAACATTCCCAGTAGGTGTTCCTCTTTTTTACATGCAGGACCATACCCCACAACTTTACTTGCAAGTGTTCTTCTTTTTTACCTGTAGTTTATATCCTACAAATTTCCCTTCTTCCTTTTCCTAGCAGCCATACCCTGTAGTTTTCTCTATAGGTTGTCTACTTCCCTGCAAACTTCCCTGCAACATTGCCGGTAGAAGTCTTTTGCATACCAACAGACACTGCATAAACTGCAGTAAAAAATAACCATAATCACGAAAAAATATCCCTAAATGCTCTTGGATTGATTACCAGTATGGGATGAAGACTTCAAGTTCTACCTCACAAAGGATCTTCCTCGGTCGTTGTTTGATGATTCCAAATTTAAGTTGAACATGAATGACATCTATGTTTCAACTTAAAGGAGAGTGTTAGAAGTTATGAGGATTGGATTTATTTCCTTTCCTATGTTATGTTGTTTCTTTTATCTCCAGTAATTATTAAGCATTGATTAATTGGAGATATAGGTGTTATATCTTTCCTTTCATTTTATTTCCTTTTTCTTGTCTTTCCTATTTTATGATTCATGTAAGGTGTATTTATACCCCATTTTCAAATCAATAAAATAATTCCGCTAAATTCTCAAAATAAATAAAGACATCAATTTCGACGGAAATTACAACAATATGACCGTCAAAATGTCTAAAAGTCCATTTCTAAGTGGCTAAATTTGAAGTTAAATTGATCATGCAACAAATTGGAGTGCATTTAAGGGGGAAAAGAAAACTCACCGTTAAAGGCTATTTCCAAGTTGCTAGATTATTGATCGGTCAGTCAACAAGAATGGCTAGAAAAAGAACCAGCTTTTTGAACAAACGCTGCACAACCACACATTATAGACATTTGCAAACCTTTGAATAGACATTTGTAAAAAAAAAAACCACCAAGCAAAGGTGCCTCACAAAATAGCCCACATTCTCTTGTGCCAATTGGATTACTTGTCGGATGATGGCTAATCCAAAGTAAGAAGAATGCTGAACAATTCTAAAATTAACACCCATAGTATAAATTGACGTTGAGATTTCAGGCTCAATCCTACACTTCTTTTCAGATTTTCAAACATTTTCTGTCTCTGTAAATCCAAGTTCCATTCCAAACTCACCAGTTAAACCGTCTATATCAGATGCTATTTCCCAGTTGCCCTTGTGACTACCCCAGCTTGCATGCAGGGTCTGTGTGTCAGATCTCTCCAATGCAGTAAGAGTACTTATCTGGCTTTGTACATCTTCAAATTCCTCGGCACCTAAAGCTGGTCGCTTCCCACCTAACTCTATATCAAAATTGTTTTTAGTATTATCAGGGATGATAGCTTGTCGTTTGGGTAAGGAAGCTGACAATACATTTATATCCTCCTTAATCTTTGCTCGGAAATCGTTCTTCGATGTGGGAATTGAAGAGAAGAAAACTTCCTTGAAATTTTGGGCACATCCTTGATTATATGGATTCATCTTACCATCATAGCGATAGCGAAAATTTTCGTAAGTAGTCTGCACGAGGCATAAACAATGTTGAATAGACAAATACCAAAAATAAAAAAACAAAAAGCAAAAGTTTGATTCAAAATGGGATAGTGCTGAGTCAGACACATTTTCAACACCACTAGCCTCCACATATGTTGAACTCCTTGCCAGTACAACAGGTCAGATTACCAAGGAGGTAAATATCAAAATAGTTTCCTAAATCTTTGCAGCTGATCATTTTAGTCCCAATGCCAATTTAGTCCCCGACTTTTTTCATAGATGCTGAAATAGTCCCCACAAAGTACTATTTCAGCCCCAATTTAAAGAATATGAGGACTAATTTGAAATTTTTATAGACAATAGGACTGAAACAGTCTCATGTAAATAGTCGAGAGGCTATTTTGACACTTTACTCTGATAGTAAGTCATGTAACTGTGTTGACTTTATAAATTATAGTGCATTCTGAAACAAAAAAAAGTTACCTGATTGGTGCAAATCAAGTACATGTGGAAGACTGTCAACCCTCCAACAAACCAAAAAACTACAAATGTGTATATTACGAGTATGCCAGAAATTGGTGACTTCTTAAGTGCCTCCCATAAATCACACTCATAAGCAACCATGAACTTCTTGAGGCTAACACAGCAAAAAGTAAGGACATAGAGACATAGGATTGTTGTTGAAGCAACAAACATAACGAAGAAGCGATAATTCCTCTGCCAAAAAAAAAAATACAAAAATTAAAGCAGAATATAAGGCTTGTAAGTTGTAGCTACAAGCATGAACAATTAGGTTGCATCAGTTATTTAATCTTATTCTTCATGAATATAAATGTAATTGAAATGTCCACTATCCACCAAAGTAAATGAAAGAGATTGCTAACGGTATATTAAACATTTAAAGAACTCAAATTGTTTAATATATTGAACAAAAAATAACTTAATACCAATTAAGGAACTAATCTGCTCAGCTCCCATTTCATATTCTGAATACAGCAAGGTATGAAATTTCCACAGCCTCAAACTACTATTATTCCAGAATATAAATGTCTAAGTGTATTTATATGGTAAGAATCGTGGAAGCTAAATTACCCTACTTAATGAATATAAACATTTATGTAAGGGGCATTTACATACATAGCATACAGTACTTATGCATTCACATATCTCACACCTAAACTTTCGTATTTACACACATAACGCTCAAATCTTTCATATCACATAGCAAATAGCACTATTACCATCTTTTAAAAGTGAAAAACACCTTTTCAAGCAAAGGTTTAAAGCACCAAAGTGTTATGTATGTAAAGATGAAGGTTTGCGTGTGAGATATGTAAATATATAACAATTGTTTGCTGCTTATGTAAATTTTCTTTATGTAAATAGCCTCTAAAAGACATGCAAATTCAAAGTGAAATCCACATGTATAAAGATGTTCAACACTAACAAATCCATTTTATCTCAAACTGGAACCAAATTTCAAAACAGATTTCCTTCACCTTATAAAGCTAGAGTGCATCGCATATAAAGCAAAAAAAAATCACCTTTCCTATACACTGCCCCACCCAAGGACAGTGATGATCGAAGCGCTCAACACAGTTATTGCAAATCGAGCAATGAGAACACCGTGGAGGCCGATACAGCATGCAGGTTTGACAATATTTGATCCTGACTAGAACGCCATTAATGATAATATCTTTAAAAGGAGGTACACTTGAGAGCCCGCCATGGCTTCCAGTCCACGACAAATTTGAAATATTGTCATCTTCTGGTTCTGGAGGACGTGTGTTACGAGGAATGATACCTGGATCTCGGCTAGATGTCAGGAAAAGAAGAACAATGTCCTGCAATAGTAGATCAACTCTTATTATCATTAATGAACAAATCATAATATAGTGCCATGACAAGAATACTTTTAGGTCTAGATAATTATGGACAAAAAACTCGTATAACTTTAAATTAAAAGAAAAATGACATGGAAATAAGGTGATAACTCGGCAATTTGAATCAATAAAAATCCTTTCAGAAGTCATAGAAGGCTAGGTCATTACCAACATCATTGATATATACAACAACAAAAAATGCTACCTCGCAATCTTTCTTGAGAGCTTCCAAGCAAACCCCAATCTGCACTCTATATCTTTCCACTATTTCTCTTAACAAAAAAGAAAAAAAAAATGCTTAAATGTTAGATCTTTCTACCATGAAATCAAATCGCTTCTCCGAAAGTAAAAAAATTATCTGAACTTAATTTCTTCACTCTCTCTTATAGCTTCATTTTTTGACTCATAGAGTTTATTCCCTTAAAGCTAGCGTAATCTTCAACGTCTAGTTTGTTCTTCTATATTAGTACCAAAATAAATATTCTTCAATTAATTTGCATCCTCTTCTTAATCTTAAAATCCTTTTATTAATTAAATCACTGTAAGTCTCCGAATATCCATGGGTACCTCATTTCGACCTAAAATCTTACTTGTATGCATATTCTTCAAAGCCAACTCCACTTTTTAAGTCAATCTATAATGCATTTAAATAAACTGTTCATAATAGCCTTTCTTTGAAATTAAATTTTCATCTTGTTTGATGCCTTTATTCTTAATCTAGATCTTATTATACTTATTTATGATGCAACTAATATGATCGAAGTCTATGAATCTTTAGGGTTTAGGGTTTATGTAAGTGGGGTCATCTACATAAATTCATTTTCTCCATTGTGTCTTACTGAGTGTCATATTTTCATTTAATTCTAATAGATTAAAATCATTTTTTATACAATATGCCAAAGTCTTTTTAGGTCTACCTCTACATTTTTTACCATAAGTCAAATCTAAAACATCCACTCCCTTAACAGGATCATTAAATTGTTGATGTTTAATATGATCAAATCATTTAAGATGACTCTCTAATCTTGTCTGCCACTGGAGCAACACCAACCCATTCATTGATATATTTGTTTCACAATTTATCTCTAAGTGTAAAGCCACTCATCCACCTAAGCATTCTCATTTAAGCAACACTTAACTTAGTTTTATGCTTGTCTTATATAGGCCAACATTCTGCACCATAAAGCATTACAAGTCTCACTACCATCTTATAACATTTTCCATTAAGTCTGTGTGGTACTTTTCTATCACACAATAGGATGCTAAGAATAAATCAATAGAGAAAAGAAAACATCTCTATTGGAAATAGTATGGGCACGCTGCATAGACCTGACTTTAGAGAAACTTGAAGATCTGCCCCATACAATAAATTTAATAATCAAATTTCTCTAAAGGCAAACACGACATTAATATAATATGTTCTATATCTTTCATGAGAAATTTTTCTAAAAAAAAAACTCCTATGGTCCGATACAAAAAGATTTACTACAGTTTATTGGACTTTAAAAAGCATGTTAGAAGTGAGGTAACCATTAGAGATTGTGTACACTTACACTCAATGGTAGCTATACATGAGCAAAAAACACTAAGAAAAAAAGTCAAAAAATTATTTTAAATGAAATATTTTGGTCTAGCAGCACATATGCACTAACAATTATAAGGACACTAGTTTAAATTTTGAGGATAGTGGATTCAGAGAAAATTCAGTTATGGGTTTTATTTACAATGCAATGGATAAGGCCAATGAGTTAATAGCCCATAACTTAAGAGAATAGGAGGTCCATTATAGAGAGATTTGAGGCATCATTGCTGAGAAATGAGAACTTCAACCCACCATCATCTGTATGTTGTTGGATATTTTTTAACCCTTAATTTTAATATGTTGTAAACAAGCCTACCAATCTTAATATCAAATTGGGGTTATATCATTGCATATAAGGATAGATTGTAGACTCAACTGAGAAAGCAACTGTTAATATGCAACTTGATCCATTTAAAAATAATAAATATTTATTAGAGCTGCAACAAGCTAAAGATACTATTCCAAAATAATCTCCAGAAAATTTTAAATATTTAATGTGTTTATTGAAATGAAAAATGAGTCTCAAAAATTAGAATTTCTAAGTTCTAATTTTAAACTAAACTGTTTTTTTTTTTTTTCAAATATTGTTGAATGGAGGATCAAGTTTGGTAATGACACTCCAAATTTATAATGTTTTGTTGTTGAAAAATTGACTTGAATGGTCGTCATCTGTGTGAGAACAGTCGGAACGCATATAATCAAATTCATACAAAAAATTAAAAATCATCTAAGAACCTTCAGAATGAATTCTTTGATATATATTTTATGTAAAAAAAGAAACTGAATGATAAAAATATTGAAAAAAAGAGTTTGAAGGAAGACAGGGATCTCCTATTATGTGAAGATATGTCATCAGATGATAAGTGGATTGTACATGATGTTAAGAAGCTCACACAATCTGAATTACGAGAAAAAAAATCTAAACTTTGATTTATTTGATGGAAACAAAAACAAGGCAAATACATCAAGCATAAGGCAACAAGAGATAAATAAAAAGACATTTAATATCCATAAAAATTCAAGTAATTGAAGTTTTCTTAAAATTTAGTAAATATTCTAATTTCTTATTAATTACTAGTGATTAGAGAAGAGAAAGATAGTTGAAATTGAAGAAGAAGAGGAAGAATGAGAAAACTTGGATTCGATTGAGGAAGTGATACTGAAACTAGGTGGAATTCAGCGGAAACACGAAAACAAACTTTTATTAATTTAGAATTAGGGTTACAACACGACATAAATAGGAAAGGATAATACAATAAAAATCGAACCCCTGATTAGGACCCGAAGATAATATCCGAGGGCGGTGATGGTATCGACAAGGTGACGAGGGAGTGTCGGCCGTTTTTTTTTATTTTTTAGCTTCGTGGTTTGAAAAAAAAGTAGTGATTTTGTAATTTTGAAAATA